GTCAGCTCCGGAGCAAGTTAAATCCCTGTATTGCCTCAGGCAAGCATCCTATGGAAAACCCACAGTGAGGTGATGAGATAAGGATGACAGGGCAGAACTAGCATTGCCCAGAAAACTTCAATATGTGTTTCCTAACATAAATGTTCTTCATTACGCAGCTTTAATAATGAACTTTTGTTATACTGTGTGCACATGAGCATGTATTTCACATCCAATGGCTATAGCATAACGCACAATTAACAATAGCAGGGTTTCCATGCTACAGGTATGAACTTGTATCTGATCATCTATGGTAAATCAGGAATGGCTAATGGAATGAAAAATACCACTTCCTGCACATACCACTCCAGTGTTGGGACACTACTTTTGTTATCATATCACGTTGGCTGAGAAGTTTAAATTCTGGGCTTTAAAACTGCAGAAATGTCATTGTAAGATATCAGTGCTCTGAGCTTTTGAGGGCAACTAAGAGCTTTCTGTAGGGAGAAGAACCCACAGGACTCCTAAATTGGTGCTGGAGGCTAGCTTCAGGTTATGTTTGCTGAGGACACCTTGCCTAGGGAACCTCATCCTGCAATTGAAATGACATGGCCCAGTGTGAGGTGTCCCTGCCCATGGCAGGGGGTTGGAGCTAGATGACCTTAAGGTCCTTTCCAACTCAAACCATTCTATGATTTTATGATTCTATGACGTGATGTGATGGAGGCTGGCATAGCTGAGGGATCCCACTCAAGTCAACAATGGCTCTGCATGGATGCAAGATCCTACTTACCTAGATCTGATTGCTGGATTAATTGGGCAGAAGGCAAGAAGCAGTACTGGCCTTCAGGAGAGCTGCTCTGGACTCGGTGCTTCCAGCTTCTAATGCAGCACAATCTTCCTTGAGTACCCAAATCAGACAGCAGAGAATCTGGGGGATCACAGGATGTAATGTGCTGCCCCTTTCCCCTCCTAGAGTTGAAAGGAAAATATTTAAGTGACTGAAATAAAAATATGAGCGTCCATTAAAGTTTGTGGAGTATGTATTTATTCCCCATAAAAAGTGTGAGTTAGAATTGGACATTGCAAGGCTGCTCCATAAAGAAAACTGCTTCTTCTCTTGGCATTCAGTGGTTTTCTTTGTGGAACTTTTCCATCAAAGTGCAGTATTTCAAATACCCATTCCCTCCCATTTCCCCCCAAGCAATAGGATGCTGACTGGGATTCATGCCCTGGTAGAAATCTGAAGCACTTTGGTACGGGGTAAAGAGCTTCAGACATCACTTGGGGGTTTTAGGAGCAGCGGTAATGGAAACCTCAAGGAAGATCTGATAAATCAGGGACTCCTAGATATCTATTCCCACTTCTTTCCATGCTACTCTGCCTGCTTTGACCAGGCTCCATGTCTCCAGATGGACCCCACCTCACCAATTTTTTCTGTTCAGAATTTGATTCAGACCCAAACCTACAAAAGCATCATACTATTCAAATGACAGCATAGAATATATTGGAGCCTTGCTCTGCCACTTAATGCACGCAGTCTTACATTAGCTCCTCTAGCTGCTCACACAGTGACAGAGGAATGCTCAATGCATTCAAAAGCAGTCAGTCCTGTAAGCGCTTATGGAAACACAAATGCCTTCAGATTTCAGATATTCTAGGCACCAAGATTAGGTGACAGAGGAATCAGAATTTGATCAAATTGCTTGGATCCCAGTTTTGGGTGTTATAAAAACACTTGAAGGATTCTTCCTGGACCCTGAATGGCTAAAAATCTCCACCTTCTTCCTTCCCCTCAGTCTCATCAGTGGCACATGCCTTTGTACAAGGAGTTAAAGAGGGCCTTTCATTAAGCCAAACACTGTTTTTCCCCTCCTACCTCTCCAGTTCTAGTAGCCCAGTGGCTGTATATTCTCTTCTGGCTTGTGTTTCCTTGTCTGCTGCCTTCATTCTCAGTAGCTACATCTCTGTCTGATGCTGACCATATCAGGGCCATTTATCTCGATAAGATGGCTAATTTCCCTTGTCTGGTAGATCAGAAATTCTAGTCGGGATCTCAGTGACACCTATATAAATCCAGATTAAATCCATTTCAGAAGTAGAAGGAGCATTTGACCTGAAATCTTTAGGGGTTTCAGGTTTGTTGCCTAAACCACTGTGTGGCTAATTTACATCGCAATAGATAGGCTCTCATTTTGTGGGTCTGTGTATGGTTTGAGCAAACATTGTTCTTACTAGCACCTGCTGCCACAAAAATGATACTTCTTTGGATGACCCATTCACTGGGAAAGCTTAAGGATTGGAAAGGAGAAAACTACAGGGATTGGTTTGTTAGGTGGTAGGGGTTGCTTTTACATTTTTATAAGCAGCACAGTGAACTCCAGCAATGAGTAAGGGTTGAGGACAACGGCTACCAGCCTCTGTCATATCTTTTTGAACCCTAATACAAGAAAATGCCAGTAACTCCTGCAAAAAACAACCACTGAATATGCTTTGGCCAGAGCTCAGCCGCTACATGGTGTTTACTGAGTCTCAAAACCTTATAAGCTATTGGCTTATTTGTTAAAATGTTCAATGCCTATTTCATAAATCAGTCTTCAGAGTTCTCTGATGATAAGGAAATAAATATTCACTTTCTGAAAGCCAGTAAGTAAAGAATTAACCAGCTTAGGAAAAGCAGTAGTGGAAGTTGATCTGTGATCTATAAGTTAGGTCTGGATTCCTGTGCTTCAGCCACGCTGAGATTCAGATCTGGTATGTCTCCACCTAAAATAGCACTAAATTGGATAATCTCTAACTTTTGTTATGTCTTTAAATGGCATGTTTGTATATTTGCACACTGTTGCTCCTGGAGTAAGCAGACTCAATTAAAAAGTTACCACTTTCTGCCACAGAAAACAACCCACTTGAAATACTGGGAAACAAAGCTTAGGAGGGTGAGAAGAGAGTTTAGCACTCTGTTGTTATGGTAATGTGGGATATTTCTGTGTTGTGGATATCCACTGCTAGTAAATAGACACAGATGTTAACCAAGAGAAGCTGTGGCTGCCCCACCCCTGGCAGTGTTCAAGGCCAGGTTGGACACAGGGGCTTGGAGCAAGCTGCTCTAGTGGAAGGTGTCCCTGCCCGTGGCAGGGGTTGGGACTGGATGAGCTTTAAGGTCCCTTCCAACACAAACCAGTCTGGGATTCTATGAATCTATGTTAACCAGGCCCATCATGAATATGGATACTAGGCCAGTGGCAAAGCTGTGCAAACCAAGAGGCATTTTAGGTTTCTTTGCCAGTGTCAGTAGATGGGGTCTTACCACTTACAGTCATGTTTTAGCCCAACCACAATTGCTGGCCCCTCAGCTCTGTTTGAATCCATGCTTTTCCACAATATCAGAATTCTGGTTTCTGGTGTAATATGGTTGTGACCAAACTAACTGGCAATGGGGAGACAGCCAGAACCCTAAAATGGATAAGCATTCATTCTGATGGACCTCACTTGTAACACTAGCTGTAGTGCATCCTCCAATATCTTGGGCCCATAGTTTCCACTCATGGTTTATGTTTCAGATCTTTAGTTAATCCTTCTGTCTAGTTTTGGCCCATTAACCATTACACCCTGCCAGCATGCAGCTAACTGGGCAGGTCATCACACTGAGGTTCTGGTTAAATTCTGATGTCAGTATTGCAAAGAGCATGATTTTAGAGAAGACTGCACTCATGTAAGAGCCTGTTAAGGAAGGTGGGGTGCAAAGTGGTGGATGTCCAGGTTGAAGGATGCCCTGGAAGTATGAAGACCTCTTCCTTCAAGGCAAAGGAAGGAATCTCAGTCTGACTTACTCCTTTGCACCTGACAGGAGATGTTTGAGCAGGTTGCACAAAGATCCAGAAGAAAGAGGACAGAAGTTTTAGGCTCGAGGCAGTGAGATGAAGGACAGCCCACCTGCTTTGAACAGGGCCCTGGTTAAGTTGCTATTAATACACACTGAGAAGATATTTTTCTGTATGAAAACTGGGCCTATGGACAGCCTAGAAGCTAAAAGTCACCAGAGCTGAGTAAGTGGCCATGCTTTCTTGCTCCTCATAGCGCGTGTAACAACACCATCTCCTCTGCTCGAGCAGAGCAGGCATATAAAGAAGCAGCTTTTGTTTTAGCTAAGGGCTCTTAATTTGGGTCTCTACTTCATCACTTGATATCCTTTACATGGACTCAACAGAGGAACATGATAGCAAGGCAACAAGTCACTTGTTCATGTGAAGTTCTTAAAAAGGAAAGGAACAGATCAGGACTGGCATTAGAGCTGCTGTGGATTAATATTTAAGCATACATCCCTCCTTGCAGCCTGTCATACTGTCATCTGCAACACTGTCCTCCATCAAAACCCTCTTTAAAGCTCTCTGCTACAGTTGACACCTGCACTCAATCAGGGCAGCAGCCAGGCTGGATGAGTTGTCTTGCAGGACAGCACCTTCAGGCTGAGGGGCTCTGCCATGACTGCAGAGATGTCCTCCTGCTGCCTCTTGGGCTGCTGCAAAGGCAATGCAGCTAAAGCAGAGCAGCTCCTGTGCTGGGTGGAACACATGTGGCATGTGAGCAACCTTCACATCAACCCAGCCAAAGGGTGAGCACCTGAGAGGGCCTTTGTAGTGTTGTGTAGGCACTTAGCCAGGTTCACCTGTATTTTGTCGTGTCTTTTGCTCCTCTAGCCAAGTCCAGTGCACCATCTGCACAGTTTTGCTTGTAGTTCAGGCTATGCAATTCAAAATACAGATGTGTCACAACTGGAAAAGCCTTCCCTAGTTCTCTTGTTACAAGTTAGACAGAAAGAAAAATGATGCTTGTGTAGAAGTGAGTCCTTCCTATTCTGCTCCGAGAGTTGTGTCCAGCCATGGGAATTTGACTGTCTGATCTAGAGGAGAGAGTAAGCCTATGAAAAGCCTTGGTTGGATTCTGGACACCCCTTCCTATGGACTCCTCAGGACTTCCCACAGCATGGAGACAAACCAACAATGCCATTTTCTTGCTATCAGCTCCCAATACAAAGGGCCTGATACAATACGTGTGTGTGTGTATGTGTGTGTGAAACCTGACAGCCTAAGTATGATGTAGTTTAGGTATTTTGGTACAGCAAAATGGAACAGAATTACTTTTCCTATTATCTTCCAAAAGTTATTGAAAATGATATGAAATATATTCTCTAGGAAAAAAAAAAAGAAGGTGGGTTTTCTTTTAATGCAATTTCTTTGGCAGTTTATTCACTGGTTATTCATTCCCCCTCTCACGTTGGGGAGGCTTTTCTATTATGAAGCATTCTGTGCAAAAAAAAAAAATGAACCCAAAAAAAAGAAGTATACTACTTCTTTAAAATATATTGCAAGAATCCTCATTTCCAGATTTTTATTGCAGCACTAGCTGGTATTCTTGCATGCAGTTTTGTAATTTATTCTGAACATTCCACTTAAACCTTTTTTCAATAGCATGATTTTATTAGAGTCAGCTCACTGGACTTTCCCAAAAAGGTATTTAAGATCAAATAAAACCAGTGCTTGGAAAAATATCATTACAATATGAAAGCAGTTACAAAAACATTAGTACTGCAAAGTTTTATTTCAAATGGCTGAGCCTGCTGTACCCCACGTTATTGCATTTCTACTTCCTCAGACACACTCACTGGAAAAATGGGAAAAACTGTCATCTTAGCAGTTTTTACCTGTTTCTCAAAAAAAAAGGCACTCAATTTATAGGGAAGCAGCAATTTTTTTCAGCACCACCATGAATAAGAGCAGCAAACTGTCCTTTGTTCCTGCATTCCTTGTCTATGCAGAGGATTGTTCTCCTCATGCCTTGGCAAGTGGCCCCCTCCAGGGAGCCCAGCAGTTCCCTGGGGTGAATGGATTTGGGCTGAGGAGTGGATGCAGTGATGTGGAAGTGTGGCTCTGCAAGCAGGGCAAATCTGCTGCTGATGCAAACAAAAAAGGTTCATTTAAGACCTGAGTGAAGGGTGACTTTGCTTTTACTTTAGGCAAAATACCCTCTGTGCTTTACCTTGCTAATGCTGTAATAGGTGTGAGCAGCCAGTAACCACCAAGTACCACTCACCACTGGGACTGCAGCAAAGGGCCAGTCCTGCAGGACTGAAGTCATTGGCTGCTTTCTCTCTAGCACATCAGGTGAAGCCATGGGTGAGCCAGACAAGATCCTGATGTTGCCTTGTTTCCCCAAGAACCGAGTTCAAGCCTCCATGGCAGAGTCAGCCTCCACTTTGGCTTACCCACCAGGCTTGCATCTGCCATTCAACTTCACATCCAGGCAGTTAGGGCAAATGTCTACCTTCTCCAGTGGTTGCTTTCATCGGAAAGGAGATAACTGACAGCTGGACCTGGAGCTTAAGCTGATCCATGTTTGGTGGTTTTGAATTTCATGGGATTTGGTTTAAAAGAGGTCTTTTTGGGGGTGATTTCCCCTTAAAAATCCAATAGAAAAAAAACCCTCTATTACTCAACTAAATTCAGATCTAATCTGGAGTATAAATGAAAAGAAAGAAATAAACTAAAGGAAATCTTAATTTCTGTATCACCAGATTGCGTGACACAGTCTGTTTTTTCACCATTCTTTCTATTTGGATGCTTATATTTATTTCATGGGACAAATCTGAGGAGAAAGTAGTGTTTTGAATAGCAAATTGTGTTCCCCTTTTTCTCAGCCCTTTCCTAGGCTAGTTTTTTTCCAAGCAGTAGGTGCAGCAAAGCAGCCTCAACACGCTTAAGTTTGAAGATGAGGCGTTATGTGTGGACTTTGAAATCCTCTTTTAAAACTGCAAGTTACTGTTCATATTACTTTTCTAAGTAGAAATATGCTTAAAAAGTAAAGTCTTTATTGCTTCTTAAAAGGCGTAGTGCTCTGTGATAAATTCTCATATTTTGACTGTTAATATGTTTGAATGAAAATTATTTATACATTTTGGTGAGGTTGAATGGTTTTCATTTGATTGCTGCCTCTGGAAATGAAAGCAGAGTAGCAGGAAATTTACATGTCATGCTGTGATGTATATCCAGATTATGAGATGATTGTGCAGCAGATGAACACCAAGTAAAATCATTTGCATCAAACTGTGACAACTGCAATTCCTGACAAGGCCTCTTAGTTTTTTGGGCTATTATCATTGTACAAGAATATAATCTATTGACAGCAGGGCTGTTTAATACATTTAAAGGCAGACAGTGGAAGAAATCTTAACTGTTTTCATTCACCGCTGCACAAGGGTGCAGATCAAAAGTGAATTATATTTAAAAATATGCATGTATGATGATAAGATGCATGACATTCATCAACCTGTTTAGTCATGGTTAAGCTGCGATGGTGAAGATCCAATATTACTGCCATATGTGGTCTGAAATAGAGACGTGAGACTGAAAATTATATTATTGCCCAGTAGAAGTGAATAAACAGAGGGAGGCATTCTTTCTTCATCTTTCTTAACCTTTCTTCTTAGATTAAATTCTGCCCTTCTGTACTTTTGTAGAAGTATTGGGTCTTAACTTCAGCTAAGGATATTTAAGCTTTTTAAATCTGATGGGTTTTTTTTCCCTTTTCTGTGGTAAAAAGCATCTTCTTTTTTTTCTGTAATAATTATAAAGTTGCCTTTGTAGGACTTCTAATGTGAACTGGTTGTGGATCAGGATCCAAATAAACACTGATGTATTACATTTCCTTTGTCAGGTATGATCTTTACAATTATTGGGCTAAATTAATGAAGGTCTTAAAAGAGAGAATTAAGGGGAAAACGTATTTTATATGTAAAAACCTCATATTCTGGTGCTTTTTACAAAATGCTGCAATCCCCTCCACGGTCCAGGGTAAGCAATTCCTGAAATACTTGTGCTTTGGAGCATTTTAATGTGAAAAATACTGCTGAAGCTCTTCATCACAGCAGTCAGAAGGTAGCTATTATTGTGGACACAGCCCTGAAAGCACAGCTCCCTGACAGAGCTGGGCTCCAGCCTGAGTGTGTGCTACAAGCCAGTGAAATGCTGATACTGGAGTGCAGACTCCATGCAGGAAAGCTCTGCCCCAGGGTACCTTCAGGGCTGTGCTGGTGACTGTAACACCACAACTGACTGATGGACATAGATGGGGATCCTGCACAGAGGGAAATTTTAGAAGGTTTTATTACTTGTTCTTAATCCTCCCACAGGGAGAATAGGAGAGTAGGGTGAGAAATGGGAAGTCTATGGAAGGGACAATCCTACTAAGGGGTACAGGTGGAAGGTTGATGTGCTGGAAGCAGCTAGTGTCCCCATCAGTAAAAAGTAGAGGTGATGTGGGGAAGTGCAGCTCAACCACAACCCTATCAGCCCTGTGTGAGCAGGAGATTTCAGGCTCACATAGAAGCTGGGTGCTTTCAGATGAGCTCACTCAGATTCAGAATCATGGTGCAGAAACTCAAGCAATGTCAGCACAGGTTCACAGGCTGCATGGTAGCCCTTATTCAGGACCTAACCTGTTTTCCCAAGCTGAAGAGCTTGAACCTGAGCAAAAGCAGCTGAATTGCTTGTTGATTCAGCCTGGTTTGTCTCAACACTACACTGTGCCACAATATCTACCCACCTCAAGGCATGTCTCACCCCCAAATCTCCAGAAGCCCATTAGCCTCTGTGGAGCTCCTACAGCCATTATCAGGTCAGGAGACAATGGCCAACCCCTAGAAAGGCTGTGTGCAGTAGGGACAGTGTAGGGCACAAACAGCCAGGGGAGCACAGAGAACCAAGGGCAAACACAAGGTGTCCAATTTGCCATAAAGGGAAGAATGTCAGCATACCTGTATTAACTCCAGCATTAAGGATAAAGAGAGATGGAACATTTAAAAAGTGTTAGTGTTTAGAAACTGCTTTCTTGCATTTTTCTTGCAGTCATCAAGACTAGCATTTTTTCCCCTAGTAGCCCAGGCTCTCCTGTTTGCACGCATACAGATGCCGGAGGTGTTTTGGAAAAGCAAGACCATGATTATTTCTGAGATCTTCACAAAAATTGCAAAAGTTGGCACCATAATACTATGCACACAGTAATGGCAGGAGATTCCCAGGTGCAGTGGCTGGATATACCAAAGTTTTCATTAGCGCACTATTACGTTAGAAAACTAAGCAAAGACAAAGGGCTAAGAACTCCTGGATTCTTTCTTCCTTCCACTTTTGACTTGTGTGATGCAATACCAGTCACCTAAGCTAACTTTTTGCCAGTCCCCTAAAGATAAAAGGAGAAATATGTACTATTTCTTACCTCCCAAAGCTGTCAGCAGGGTTGATTCATGTTGACAAAGGCATTTCTCGTGTGATATGTAAGGAGTAGTTGCTCTCTTGCCACCTCAGTCCAGATTCCCATTGGCAGTCCGTTCCTGCCTTTGCTTGCTTGCACTTTCTGTGAAGTGGGCTCTGGAGATCCCAGTGGGATGCTGTAAGCTGTAAAAATGGTTGGAAACAAAGAAGTCAGTGATTTTGCAGGCCAGCAATGATGCAAACGTAGTTTTCTCTTAAGACTGAGGTAGAAAACTGGGGTATGCTCCTAATAATCTGCAAATTCTATTAAAATTAATGCTCATGTTGCTTCAGCAAACTCTCCAAATATATGTAGAGTTTCATCTTCTCCTGTGCAGTGTTCAGGATAATGACAAAAAGGGGTCATTTTCCTGTGGATGGAAAGGGATGCCATTCCTGCTTCAATAAAAGGGAAAAAAATTTGACTAGGACGAGAGAATATTATCTGTGTTCATTCTGGTGATAAAGAAAAACATGCATAAAAGGTCATGGACAAATGGAATTTCTATCATCCAGAAATACAGAGAGTCCTTTCCATGCATCATCAGACTTTTCCTTCTATCCCCATCCTGAGAATTGCTTACCCCCAGCAAATGCCATATTTTCTTCCTGGCACCACACTGCTTTTTCTCCATTGCCGATGCTCACACTTGTTTCATTAGTGCTCAGGCAGTATAAAGTTTCTGTTTCTAATACTACATTATTACCATCCTACTTCCATATCAAGAAGCCTGAGGATGTCACCAGGTATCTCATCATCATTGCAAAGCGTGAAGAGCTGACACTGCTCTGCGTGCATTGAAGTCATTCGAGTGCCCCAAGACTTGTGGTTCCAGTATTCACACAGCTGAAATTCCTTCTGTTTTATTACCATTACTGATTCATCTGGGACCAAGATCCAGCACTATGGGTCAGGAAGATCACCCACAGAGCATGGAATACCTCTAGACTCAAAGACACAAATTTAAGCAGCACTACATTTTTCCCTTTCTCCCAATACCTGCGTTACTACCTGAATTCTGCCACTGGAGGACATGCAACCAGTCCCACCACTGATGACACCAATATGCCCTTCAATGCCTGAGTGCTGGTGGGAGCTAAAGCCCAGTTCAAGGCTGTAACACACCAGAACATTTCCACCTCCTGAATGGAGGTTTCTGCATGTTGCTTTATTTTGACATTGGAGAGGATGCTGCATTTGGTAAGGCAGCTAAATACAAATACATTTGGGGGTCTTTCAAATGTCAGCATAACGCTAATATGAAATCAAACCTGGTTTTATTAGATACTCCTGATTCACCAGAGAAAACCTACAGATTAAAAAGTTATCAGGTTTATGATGTCGTCCTTTTTGGAGCTGAGGAGCAGCTGTTGCTCCATAACAGCTCTGAGCATGATGAACATTTTGGGAGAAGGGGTAATTTTTAACAAGAAAAAGAATGTTACTATTCCAAAGGAAAACCTGGCCACTAACTTCATTTGACATGTGTAATAGACTGTGATAGTTTTTTGGGGACTGCACGATGCAAAGTAAAACGAAGCTGGTAATAAGCAACTTGGCATTTATTCTTTATGTAGGAATATTTGTTCCTCAAAGTCAGACTATGTGGAATATTAGCATTTGAATAAATTATTCAGCACTTTCTAGAGAACGCAAGGGGAAAAAAATCTTTCCAGCATTATAACATGACAATCTACAGGGTAGTAGAAAAAGAAGGCTGTCATTTTTTCTTCAATTACAAAAGGCAAATATTTATTATTTATAAGTATTCGCCTTGTATAGGCTTAAATGTTATTTATGAACCTGTTGCATAGTGATTTTCAATGTAACTCATTATTTTTAGCCTTAGGGTGTTGTAAAGGAGCATGGATATATTTAATGACACTCTGCTAGTCAGCGCAATTACACTGTAATCATTATGTAAAATGTGCTATTAATTAAACCAATTTCTAGTTAGAACATTCTCTTCTGCAGGGCTTAATCTTAATCTCTGGCAATCTTTCTCTCTGTTTTTCACCCATTAATTATCTGATTACTCTTTAAGTTACATATGATAAAATGTGTTTTTATTTTTAGGCTTCATATGCTCAATTATTTGTATTTATCACACCATTTGCCTGAATTATTGAAAAGGCCTTATTTGCCAAACAAAAGAGAAATAAAAAGAAACAGAAGATGAGGCAGTTACCTGGGAGCCAACAGTCGTTGGATGGTTGACAATTGCTTCTGATACTCTTTTTAGAGGTTGTATGGCTGAATTTCATTTCCAGTTCGGAAGCATCTCCTCTTTATCCTAATTACCACACAGAAATCTATACCTATTTTTAAATGCTTCATTTAAACACAGAGGCAAATGTCCATATTTTCCCCCGTTGGACTGGCTCTTTATGTTAGTATTTTGTTAAAAGAAACATAGTTATACTAAAACAATGCTCATTCTTAAAGGAATTAACATAAGCACTAACCAAATAATTATTCCGAAGGCATTATGGTAGTTTTTGAGTTACAAATAATTACTGTTAACAATTCCAGTTAAAATAATGGCATCTAAATGTCTACAACCCTTCAGAAAAGGAAAAAATCACCTAGTTTTTGAAGTCATCCTTGCTCTGCTCTGCAATGACCCCTTGTGGAAAAAAAGACTTGAAAAGAGGAGGAATCGGCTCTAAAATTCCCAGGAAATTTGATATAAATATGTAAGAGCAAAAACGTTTTGCTCCTGCCAAGCTTGATGGTCAGGGATCATGGACTAATAAGCCTGAATAGCATGAGATCCATTTTAATTAAGTCCCAAGCTTTAGGAGGTCTTCATCTCAGGGTCTCCATGTCAGTGTCCCTACTGGGGTCCATGCAGTGGATAAGGCTAAACTACCACCACCTGCCACTGCTGCTGCGTGTGGAACCATCTCTCCTGCTTAACCTTTGCAGTTGCTAAAATGTCACAGAACCATAGACTCCCGGAATGGGTTGGGTTGAAGGGACCTTAAAGCTCCTCCAGCTCCAACCCCTGCCACGGGCAGGGACCCCTTCCACTAGAGCAGCTTGCTCCAAGCCCCTGTGTCCAACCTGGCCTTGAACACTGCCAGGGATGGGGCAGCCACAGCTTCTCTGGGCACCCTGTGCCAGCGCCTCAGCACCCTCACAGGGAAGAGCTTCTGCCTAAGAGCTCATCTCAGGTTAAAGCCTTTCCCCTTGGCCTGTCCCTACAGGCTCTTGTCCAGAGCCCATCTCCAGGTTTCTTTTAGACCCTTTAGGCACTGGGAGCTGCTCTAAGATCTCCACAGAGCCTTCTCTTTTCCAGGCATAACAGCCCTGTAATAACTCATAATGGGTGGTGTCAATCAGAAATACCCATTAAAAAAAACAAAACCAAAGCAAACCAAACTCCATCCTCTGGATACACACAGGTGCAAGTGAGGGGAATAGGGCCTTGCATGGTGTATGCACTTCGTCGTCTTATCCCATACTGTGAAGGTTGTCACCTGCACCAGCAAACAAGAAGCAGATGGCCAAAAATCACATAATCATCAATCTAAACCATGTACTGAATCCAGCACACAGTTGTCACTGTGCTAAGAGACACCCAGCAGAAGCTCAGGGCCCTGGTCCCAAATAACTAACGTCTTCTGTACTCTAGTTAAAGAAATAAAACCTTTAGGTAAATTGTACCTAGCCAGTTAATAAGGTTTTGCAGGTTTGGGCAGAGTCACTTGAATATAAACTTCTTTCTCCTTAAAAGTATGAGAAGGATGTCATAGATTCCCTGAAATCCTCTGGCATTTTCCAAGAGAAATTCAAGTATCAAACCACATCCCTGCATCCTGCCTTGCAGCCTGATCTCACTAGATGGCTGAATCCAGCCCAGCTTGCATCCTGCCTTACTTTATGCTTCACCTGAGGACAATGGGAGTCTTTCCACCACTGCACCAGCGCCTGGACTGTGCCCTTCAGGACACATTTGTAGCTCTGTCCCAACTTCTCTTCTCAGAGGGAGCCGAGTATCTGAGCAGGAGTGGAGATATTTGACTCTGCAGCAACATTCACTCAATGGGATACACTGGAGAGAAGGGAAGGGTGTAGGGGGAGCAGAGAGCACTTTCTCTTGTTGTCTAGAAGGCAGGTCCTGACCTATGCTGGTTGAATGTATAAACACCTCAGAAGCATCGTCACCCAGGGTAAATGTTCTTTTGTTTCTCCTCTATGGTGTTTTACAAAGAGCTTGTAACTCAGTTTCTCCCTGACCCTGCAGTGGTTACTGAAGTAATTTGGTTTAAAGATGAAGTGTCCTGAATACTTTCCTCTATACACGGAGTACAAATATCGATTTCTTCAATATTTGGTGTGTGTCTCTTTTCTGGCCCCAGATATTCATTTCATGAACAAACCTATCTGTTGTGGACAACACAAGGAAACCTTGTTTTATGTTTTGAACTACTGATGGGTGGTAGACAGCACATCATCCCAGCAGCATCCCTTCTGTGTAGGGTACCATAGGACTCTGGTGGCAACTATAATGTCAGGACTATGTGTGTCAGTTGGAAATATTAAATAGGTTTTCTTCCTTTTTGGGTGTAAAAGAACCAAACGATCCCTCCTGCAGCCAAAAGCACAGCTTGTGTAATGGGGGCACAACTGGTAGGTACTCTGGAGGAAGAGTATGTGACACTTCACACTTTACAACAGGTTCATTCAGCTCTGTGTGTGTGTTTCTTAAAAAGGGAATCTTTACCTAGCAGAATTCATGCTTCTGGTTAGTGCTGCCATTTCTGCTGCATCAACGCTTTCTCTGCTGCTCCCTTTCTGACTTGGGTTTTGTGCTGCAAGTCAATTATTAGAGCCAAAAAAAACCCACAACAACCAAACCCTGACACGGGACTGAGCCATTTTCCTAGAGGATGAAAACAACTCTTCCTCAGTAGAGGAGCAGATAAATGCTGCTGTAGTCAGCTCCCACTCAGAAACTTGGACTTAAGATCAAACCCTTTCAGCTTCACTTACAGGAACACAACGCTGTCAACTACACCTGCCCACCATGTTCTTTTGCTTGGACTGGCTTCCAGCTCCTCCTGCCATATGCTGCCTTTGCTAAATATCCTTAAAACGCTGTTTTGCCCAGTGAGGGTTATCTGCGGTGAAGGCAGCC